CCTATTCTTACTTGGGTTCACAAAAACTCGCCGTGAGTCACGCTCTCTCACTTGGATTGTGTCAATCGTTCGTCGGCTGTCATTATCATTCGCTGTCTTTCTCCGCCTCTCTGCGTTATATCTTTCTTCTCTCTCGTCTCTCGTGTGCCGAAATTTGCCAAAACGTGTTATTCCATTCTCGTCCAAATCAGACCGCCGCGTAAGAAGTTTCATTTCAGAAAAATCATCGTAGGTACACGTGTTAAGAAGTGAAACTTTTTAAAAACTATTTCTTTAACTCAAGAGCACCAGGATTCAGAGTTATGCTGAAATCTGAATAGCGAGCGAAGAATGCGCAGAGCGCAGAAGGCAACATAATATAAGAAGTTTGGATTACCTAATATACCATAGGTGGGTTCGGCTTGCTCACTCCGTGCTCTCGGAGTGACTCCATTCGCACTCCAGCCGTTCGGGTATTGCTTTTTACCGTATTAGGGGTGACTCCATTAGCTCTGTTCACTTCACTCCAACTCCGCGCTGAATAGCCGAACCCAGCTTATATAGCGCTAGTGGTGCTCACATTAATAATCTGCGGTGGTGCTAATGCTACTACTGCCACAAGTGTCACGTGCCACTGTCACAGGCTAGTGGCGTTAGCGCAGTGCAAAGTGCAACGCAAGAAATTCTCTGCGACCATTGGGATTTCGTTATTCTGTTGTCCGGTGATTTTGCAATTCATTACGACACGTGACACGATCCTTATGTTAATTTTAATTAGTCCTCGCGAATTTTGGTCTACCAATTTTTCCCAACTCTAAATTTTTTATCCTAGTTTTCCCAACTTTCGATATATTTTAGGAACTTTGGGGGGGGGGCGCCACCCCCCAGCCCCTGCCATGGCTCCGTCCCTGCAGGCGGAGTATCTGGATGTCGAACGAAACAAATGCTTTCACTAAATTTATGAAGGCCATTAGTGCAGCGAAATGTTTCAAATTTTTTTTTTTTTTGAGGTATAACCAGATGAAACCTTTATGATATCATTAGATGCGTCATTGGACATACGAAATGGCCATTTACGAATTTTTTTAACGGTACCGATTTTTTCTAGATCGAAAAATAAGTAAAATTTGTGAAAATAATTGTTTCGTACTTTACTAACCATTACGAAGCTAATGGTTAGGATCAATGAGTTAGGCAGACATTATTATTGAAATACATTTCAAATTGTTGAAAAGTTATTATAAGAGTATATAGGGATTGTAGGGAAGAAATTTAACACAACACTGGCAAGTATCTTTCCCGCAACAGAAATTCCTCTGTAGTTTCCACATTGAGCCCTGACTCACTTTCTAAAAATGGCAACTATGGAGTCATCTCTAAGTTCGGCAAGTATGGTCTCAGTAATCCATATTTTGTTAGACATTTTTTTAAGGTAACGATCAACGTGAAATCAGGGACATAGGAGTCTCTGTTTGGAAATCGACCCACTGAGTAGTGGCCCCGCCTTCCCGTGCCAGTCCTTGACGCGTTTCCTCCTTGTTAGGACTCATCAGAAGGACACAGTCTGAAGCTCCCTGTCCAAGCAAATTTGAACTTCGTTGACCAGTCAGAAACAACTACTCCGAGGGCAAATACCCCTACCGGCGTTGAACTACACTGACTGGTCTGAGCTTTCGTTGGCAATGAAAATTGTTAGAAAGTTTTTTCAGGTAATGACCAACGTGAAATCAGGGACATGAGAGTCCCTGTTTGGGAATCGACCCACTGAGTAGTGGACCCCGCCTTTCCGTGCCAGTTCTTGACGCGTTTCGTCCTTGTTAGGACTCATCAGAAGCTCATAGACTGAAGCTCCCTGTCCAAGCAAATTTGAACTTCGTTGACCAGTCAGAAACAACTACTCCGAGGGCAGATACCCCTACCGGCGTTGAACTACACTGATTGGTCTGAGCTTTCGTTGGCAATGAAAATTGTTAGAAAGTTTTTCCAGGTAACGACCAACGTGATGAGTCCTAACAAGGACGAAACCCGTCAAGGACTGGCACGGGAAGGCGGGGTCCACTACTCAGTGGGTCGATTCCCAAACAGGGACTCTCATGTCCCTGATTTCACGTTGGTCATTACCTGAAAAAACTTTCTAACAATTTTCATTGCCAACGAAAGCTCAGACCAATCAGTGCAGCTCAACGCCGGTAGGGGTATTTGCCCTCGGAGTAGTTGTTTCTGACTGGTCAACGAAGTTCAATCCATATTTTACTTATTAGGATTTGGGTTTGGGCACTTAGTGTGAGGCCTTTTTGTTTGGAGAATTCAACAGGGATACCATCAGTAACAGCTGCCTTATTGCTCTTCAGTTATCTGATTGCCTTTTCAACCTCCTCTAATCTGGGAACCTCGCCCAGTTCTTGTTGTAATGGTTTCTGTGGAATTTCTTTGAGGACGCCATTATCAATTTGCGATTCCGTGTTAAGTAGTTCCTCAAAGTGTTCCTTCCATCATCAAAAATTAATGGATGAACTTTCTTTAAGCAGTCTTGTGCCATCTTAGGATCGTAAGGGATTTCATCTCTTGGTTGATTGGTCCTTATACCATCTTAGTAGGCTGAAAGAAGGCCCTGGTTCTGTTGTTGTTCAGCCCGTTGCTGCAATTCGTTTGAGTTTGTTATCCACCATTGGTTGTTTTAATGCTCGCGAGTTTCAACCTGCACCTTCGCACTTATTGGTCAACCCCCGTTTACCCGATGTCTACTGGAAATACTAGAATTTAATGTCATAATCAAGAGAACGAACAGTTCGAAAATTGACGCTAACTGAAAAATCTGGCAATACCTTCGATTCTATTTTTGGCTCCGGCATGTAAAATAACATCCAGGTACCCAATTTCTCTATTCTCATTAAGTCTCCAGTGGCATAAAAGATAATTAGCCGTTTCCAGACGTTTGACTTAATCCTATATAAATAAGCAAAATTTGTTTAGTTATCTTGTGGAACAAAGTTTGAAACTATTCTATGCTGATGTAGGGTTGATTTCGACATTGAATTGAAAATGGCTGGAAGCGAGAAAGTAATATTGCTGTTTCAATGTTAATACAATCCAATACGAAGTTTAGAACTTTATTGGCACTTGTGCACGACCAATTGATTTATTAAGGTCAAAGATTAATGAAACAGTTTGATCTATTTGAAGTTTTGATACAGTTATCATTTGAGCGGATTTCAATGGAAATTAAATTTCGAAACAAAAAAAAAAAAGATCGGAAATTTATACGTCAACTTACTAAGCCGACTGAATTTGCGATTACTCATCTGATTTAAATGCCTTTTAATTCGTTCCGAAAGCCATATTACAGCGTAAAAGACATATGCTGGTCTGGTGGTTTTGGAAATCCGAAGGGCAAATTGGCTCAGCCCCGTGCAGACCGCAATGCTAATACAGCAATGCCCAATGTTGATATTTGCCACAATTCAATCATTATCTCTAATTTATGTTTCAAGTAAAAATGTTACTTATATAGCCTTTTTTGTCATTTTGTGGGTACCTAGTTCCTCAGGTAATTACGTCAAAATGTTTTGGATTGATGTAACAAAATATTATTCCTCGTCAATTTTCATAACATAAAACATATCTAGGCTCTGCTGTTTCGAGTAAAAAAAAGGAAATTCAAATAAAGTTGCTCAAATCAAACAATCAACCTGATTAGCTTGGTAATATGTATAGGTATTAACCTTGATAAACCTTCCTTCAGTACCTTTATTGTTTCACCTTCCCAATAACGAAAACGTTGAAATTATCAATATAAATAAAAGATCGAGAATATTTTTCAAATAAAATAATTATATGAAACCTATTTTTCGACCTTTTATAATATCCATTTTGTAGCGTTTTGAACTTTTGTAGCTTCGATATCTTTTAACCTTCATTAATTTCCATCCTGCAATTTTAGATGAAAGGCTATCGATATTTTAAACTTTTCATTTTTTGTCCGCCATCATTTTCTTTGCTTTTTCAATGCAAAGACCTAATTAAGAAATAAAAACATAAAACTTTCCAGCAGTGGAAACAAAAACAAAGCTAAGAAAAATGTCGGTTTTCAAATTCAATGTAATTTCCTTAATTGAAGGAGTGTTTGTGCCTAATCATTTTAAAAGTTCTATTGAGCTTGAAAGGAGTTTCTGGCCAATGCAGTTGAAAGTTGCTCCTTTCAAGTATTAGATATATTATATTCGTCCAGGCCTTTTTTGTTTTTCCAAACTCTTGCTATGGCTGGTTGTAGAATGTATCCTAATCTTTATACACACATAAAAATGATCTATTTTTTTTTTAGGTAACAAGATGATAACTATACTTGTCACAAATTTTTTGCTGATTAAATTTTTAAAATAATTAAACTAATCAAGCTTGCCAAAAAAAGCCGATTTGGTAAATTTGATAAGATTTCTAACCTGTTTATAAGTCCTCTTTTAATTCATACGAGTTTGAAAGTAATTAATTGATTTCAGTGATTATCGGCTTAAACTCATAAAAATGAATTAAAACAGTTATAATAAGCGTGAATTTTTACATTCCCTAATTTAACCGGTAATAAATCAGATAATTCGTCTTACTTTTCCATTGTAATTTTATCTGTAGTTAGTCCGAGTCAGTGTAAAAGGATGTGATAAAAATTCAATTCAATTCAATTCAGAGGCTGACAATCAATAATATTGCCACAACTGGTCAAACCCCAGGGTTTTATGATATTTATTTCCTTGACAGAAATATTAACGTTGACATGTCATTTTCTTTCGTTCTAGCTTGTCGAGAATTTTTGTATTGGAAAGCATTACTTACAGTGAGACGTGTCATTTGAAGGTATAGATGAGAATGAGATAGAAAGCGAGGAATTTAAAAATAAAGTTCAGATTTAGACTATTAGTTTTTTGGTACCTATATTAGATAATTTATTATTCTATCATTTTTGAGGCCCATTTACTATATCCAGAAAATCAATGAATAAGTATTCGTATTTAACTAATGCATACAACTTAATCTAAATTTAATTGACGGAAGCTACCGTAAAATCCCAATATATCGTCGTTTATTAGTTTTTCTAGCCTCTTCGATTCATCAACGGTCATAAATTGAATTTTATCAAACCTTGGCTTTAATTCTTCAAATTTTTTAGTCATCATAACTGAAAATATTGTTTGAATTGAAGTTAGTTCCTAAAAGGCTTTTTGTTTGTTTATTTTACCTTGAAGTTCTGCCAAAGAATACTCTCCACCTCCAATATCTTTGGGCAAAATGAATTTGCTTATGAGGTTTTGAAGATCATCGGCATTTGACAAGGCTATCATCTTCAATATTATTTAGTCGTGCAATATTATTTTAAATTTCATTTACCTACCCTCTCACTTATTTTCTTGGGAAGTAATGGTTTACAAATATTATTGAGGATATTTCCAGTAAGAGAATGCATATTAATTAAATAGATTGCGGCATTTCTGTTGGCATAAACTTTCTAAAAATTGGGTCTTTTAAAAGTCATTCAAAAACTGCTATAAAGTTGTTTTACTTCCAAAACAACTGCCAATTTCTTCAAAACCATGGGGCTAATTTTTGTGCATGTGCCACCCTAGCTCCTATGAAGTCAATAACCATTTCAAAATTCTAGCAAGTATCTTCTTGAAGACACACTTCTACAACATGAGTCAACTGTACGAAAAATAGATGACTCCCGGGCATGTGCGGATCCGTATTTCGGATGGATTGATCTGCACGTAAACTACTCGGTGAAGGCGACTTGTTATTTTTGGTAATGGAATACAATAGCTAGAACGAAAATACATAATGGTGTAAGAGGTCCTAGAATAGTCATATACAATAAAAGCCCGAAGCGATAGTTGAGAGTTCTCATTTACACATCGAGGGCGTTGAACGCTGTTAATGATTAGGATGCATAGAAAATATGCACCTATTTACTTATATGACTTTCAATTCAAATTGATAATACTGATTCCATGAGGTAGAGCTCATGCTTTGAGAGTTTGACAATGACAGTTCTGTATCTGTTAGTTTGGCAGGGTGGTATGCCACAGCACTTAGGCCACAGTAGGCCCATTGTGCGCCTCCACAAGAGGAGAGGATATCCTTAGCTCGTCATCCAGCCTAGCGATTTAACGTAAGCAATGCCTCTGATCTCTTTTAGGGATGGGTACGATTTCGATCTGCGTATTGGCGAAAGAGTAGTGCAGTCACAAAGAATAAAGAATCACAAGGGTGGTGATGCTAAGATGCAACCTAAACAATTGTTTGTTTAGCTGACAGTGGCAAGTCAAAATGCCCGTTATTAGGCGTAGCCTTTTCCTGGTCAGCGACAGTTTCTGGCCTGCTGCAGCTTTATCTGCAGGAATCTTACCAGTTCCTTGGATAAGTTGCAGCCAATCGTATCGTCCCAGCGCTCTTTGAAAAGAGTGTGGGAGCGTTGTTTGATCATAACATGGTCCGACATGGTCAGCCCCATGAAAGGCTCTGGTCCAGGAGGCTGTAGCTGGCGATCTTTGGTCCACGACATGGTCAGCCCCATTACAGGAGGCTGTAGCCTAGCGGCCCTCCTAGCCAGAGTATCGGTAGCCGGATTGCCATTGCTGTGATCATTTTCTTTGATCCAGCTGACTACCATCGTGCTTTTCATCGACGCCTCTGTGGAGGTACGGTGAATATGTTGTACTAGTTCTGACGTGAGTCGTGGTTAAGATAGGGCTAGTACCTACTGCTTGTCTGCAGTCCGTGTGGATGTCTACGATCTTGTCAGTGATATTATTGCTGACTATCTGTTATGCAGCTGAAATTACTGGCATATCAGTAATGTCCGTTTGGCGGACATTTGGTATGGAGCTGAGGACTTTAGTTATACTACGAGAGCCCGTGTTACAAATCCTCAGTCATCTGTTAGAAGGCCGTTTTTTGGTGGCCCGGTATGCCTAGTCCTCGGCCAACTAAAAAAGGCATTGGTTGGCGGGTTTTGATCGATTGATTTAAAAGGGGAGCCTTTACAGGCAGCACGTAGACGCGCATGTGATTAATTGTGCTATCCCCCTCTTGGTGCAGCCCTGTCTTACCTTAGGAGCCCTCAACTGTTAAGAAAGGGGCAGACCCGCACAGGCCAGACATGCTTTATTTCCTCAAGTTCCAGGAAACTGTACCCGAGGTATCGAAGTCTGCGACTGACGAGGACGTCACATTCGCAGCCTATATGCTTGTTGGTTTCATCTACTTCGCTGCAGAACCTACATTCCATCTCATTGCCGAGTCCGATTTTGTGTAGGTGGTATCTGACCATCCAGTGTCCCATCAGGACGCCTGTGATGGCTCTTAGTTGGTTCCTGTTAAGTTTTAGGAGGCTTTTTGCTTCTCTGCTGTTTGAAGGACCTTGTATAAAAATCCTTGACTGTTTGAGGCCTTCTGTTCCAGCCATTCGTCTTGGAACCGGTCGTTGGATCGGTACCTGATCTTGGCTTTTACCAGGCAGGAAGCAACCCCAAGAGCAGGCTCGGCTTTTGCTACCTTCACGAGCCAGCTGGTCTGCTTGCTCATTGTTTTTTATGCCCCTGTGACCCAGGACCCAAACAAGGGTGACCTCCGGAGCCCGTGCCTCCACAAAGAGATGGAGAAGCATTATGCCCAGTATGGCTTCCATCGCCAACGTTGGGGTGGTTCTAAAGGCACCAATTGTAGCTATACAGGCAAGTCGTTGGAGCTTGGCAAGGTCTGCCCTATAGGTGGACTTGCTAAGCGCGTTCCATCAAACTAAGCTGCCGTACGTGATCATTGGCCTTATCACTGCTGTGTAAAGGCAGTGGACTATGTGGGGTTGTAAGCACCAGGTGCGTCCGATGGATCTTCTACAGGCCCAAAGGCTAGAAGTGCGTCTCTGGATGATCCTGTTGACCTGAACTTTCCAGTTCAGCCTGGAGTCAATGTTGACTCCTAGATATTTTCCTTTACCGGATGGAACAAGTCTCGAACCCAAGAGCGTGAGCCCTTCCAGGTCCACGTTTCTTCGCTTTGTAAATGGTACTACGTCGGACTTGTCCGGATTTACCGAAAGTTCTTGCTTTTTACACTATTTTCCTACCATGTTAAGAGCTCTTTGCATAATCTCTTTAATGGTGCTGGGTACCCAATCGTCTGCGTAGCCTTGAGTGTACATACCTTTCTCGTTCAGAGTGCGGAGCAGCCCCTTCAGTACCAGGCACCACAGCAGAGGCGACAGTACACCCCCTGCGGGCTACGGTTGAGTTGATCTTCGCACTACCAATCGAGGTTGTAATGATTCTGCTCCAGCATGATAAAGATCCATTTGACAATGGTGTTCTCTATGCCAAAGCTTTCTGCAGCATTTTTTATCGAGTCGAATGAGGTGTTATTGAATGCCTCTTCGATGTCTAGAAATACACCCAGAGCCATCTCTTTATGAGACATCCCTCGCTCCAGCCTTACTACACGACTGTGGGGAGCCGTCTCAGTTGACCTGGCAGTCCTGTAGGCGTGTTGATTAGGGTGCATGAGCATGGTTTTCAATGCCCCTTCCCTGATGAATGTATCTACCAGTTTTTCCAGCGTTTTTAGAAGAAACAGGGATAGACTGATGGGTCTGTAATCCTTAGCCGATTCTTAGTTATAGCGTATTGGCTGGGGATAAATACCACTTGGACCTTACGCCAGGAATGTGGTACTTGACCAAATGCGAGGCAGGCCCTAAAGAGGCGTATTAGGTGCGGAGTCAGTAATTAGGCAGAGTGGAAAGATCTCTTTTCTATAAAAGGGACTTCCAACTGAACACAATAGGCCAGTGCAAATAATTTTGAATTTGCAAAAATTTTTATAAAGCTGCAACTATCAAAAATAGTTAGCGTTAGTACTCCTAGTAAACATACCAAAAGTCCCCATTCGTCCGGTTGTTGCGTCATTAGAAAAAACAATCCGCCATCTTGAATTTCAGCACTTTTCGGAAAAAATCGTGAATAAGTCAAAAACGGTACATTCTATCGAAAAAACTCAAGAGAGGAAAATTGAATAGAATGAAAAAATGAAGGAGGTATCATAGAAACTGAATGCGTACCATACCGTACTAACAATCTAGGATTTTTTGAATTTTTGGAAATTTAGCAAAATCAAGGGAACCAGACCATAATGCAGTTAATGCATTTTTTCAATCCCAATAAACAAATAAAATTACCTTTTAACATTTATTTAAATAAAAAACACTGTAAAAGTGTTACCTACATATTACCTAATTTAATTCAACTACCCTCGTATGAACTAATAATGAATAATCGCAGATTCAATACAATAACACTATTCAACGCAAAAAAATTGACAAGGTCAATTTTACAATGTTTTGGCCAAAAGACAGGATAGGATAAGCAAATTTAAATTGACAATTTAATTTATACACAAAAAATTCCATAAGGACTGGTGTTTTTGTCATTCTTACAGCGACTATTTCACTAGAGTGTATTACACCGGTTATACAACTCATTGTACAATATTCCTATATGACACGAGAGGCTTAAGAAGTGATAAGCCTTTTGGGATTATTGTTCGCGCTTGGTGGCAATATTGTTGATTTACTATTAATAATAATGAACATTAATAAAGAATCAAAGTTTAGTTCGTTGTATAATCTTTTGAATACCACTCGAAGTTTCAGGATTACCTAATACTCTTACCCGACACTCAACGTGTTACCTGCAACACCACTCCTCCTTCGGAGTCGTGGTGTTGTTGCGTAACGCGTTTCGTGACAGGTGAAAGTATTATCCGGTAATCCTGAAACCTCTTGTGGTATCACATTCGACAATAAATTCGGTATTCACCTGACAATATTGCTACCTGGACAATACCAACAACATGGTAATTCAGAGGTCAGAGACCATTTTTTGACATTGTCAAACTGATATTTTTAATTTGAAGTTCTTATTCATATTTTTGCATTCTATTTATTTTCAAAATCTTACGTGAAATAGTCATGACCAATACCACTCGAGAAAAAATTGTGTAGGTAAAATTGTTCTCAAGGTTTTATTCAAGTTTGTTGCTTTTCTGCAATTTCGCTCGTGACATTTTTGATAAAATCCAGAGATAAATACTATATAAACTGTCGAGAATGGAATCTCAGTGTAAATTTTGTTGTCAACAAAATTGAGCCAAGCCAGCGCCATCTACCATATCGGAAAATCACTATTTACTGGTTTTGCATCGATGCTACAGATACCTACTTTACATAGGACTTTTTATGATAGATGGCGCCCTGTTCGCATTACTGTCGGTCTGTTCAAATTCGTTTATTCTAGACTTTGGGGCAATAATGTTTGCTTAAATTAATTGATAATTTGTTAATTAGATCAAAAGACAGTTTCTTTATCGATGGTTAAGGGTATCCTTAACATATTTATTCAAAGTTCAGATTGATGCTTAATTGAACCTGTCATTTATCTAATCAAAAAATATAAAAAA